TTGTTTTTGTTTGTTTGTTTGTTTGTTTTGTTTTACCTTGAAAGAGCCTCTATTTAGTCCAACTCCTCAATTTTCCAGGTGGGAAAATGAGGCCTAGAGAGCTGGAGTGACTTGCTAAGGTCACCCAGAGAGTTAGGTGTGTGTTTAAGGAGAATATTTGATTATCAGTAGCACTGGCTCTTCCCCCTCCCTGGAAGATAGATCTTCCAGAAGCTGAGAATATTCAGGCCTCAACACAGATATTTATTCTTCCCTGGGGTAATCATCGCATGTTTGGTGTGAACGCCTAGCCCCTGGGGATCTGGTTGAAATGCAATTTCTGATTTATAGGTCATGGGCAGGGCCTGAGAATCTGCATTTCTGATACGCTCCCTGGCAATTAGATGCTGCTGGTCTGCAGACCACACTTGCAGTAAGTAGCAAGGCTTGTTATTTTATTGTATTTTCTTTCTAGTACAGGTCACAGTGTGATCTTATATTTATCTGTGCAGATGTTTTCTTGTGGCTTTCTCCCTACTAGGTATAAACTGCCTGAGCAGAGTGCCTTGTCTGCTTCATACTCTGTTATACCCCAGGCCCAGCCCCATGCAGACATAAAGTAGTCTCAATCCGTGAGGTCTCCTCAGGGTGACAGAGAGAGCCAGGTTCTGGAGTGTAAAGGACCATGTCCTGTTTTCTCCTGCCTCCTCATGCCCCAGCAGCAGGTAGTCACACACAGCAGGGGCTCAGTGACTGGTGGGAGGGGGTGGAGCAGCTAGTCACTCTTGATCCCTTGTGTCCAGTAGGTCAGGACTGGAGTGATAATGAGAAGAAAAACAGCCTGAGGTCCATAGATATGAGGTGATGTGCGCGCGCGTGTGTGTGTGTGTGCGCGCACGCGCGCGCGCACGCGCGTATAAATCATTTTTAAAGCTGGAAAACTTGTTGCAACCTTTGTCTGAGTCCCTTCTGTAGCTGCCTGGACTCAAGCCCAGCCAGGGTTACTTGGAGTTTGGCAGTCCCGGGGCACACAACTTGATCATCTTACCTCTTGCACCATATTCACATGGTGTTCCTGGCTTGGCCCTTGTTCATCTGTGGCCAGTTCAGTTTGTCCAACTTGGGTCATTCAGATACTCTGAGCATGAGGCCACATGCTGCTCTGGGGAGGCCATTCCAGTGCCTCAATCAGCCTCAGTTTCCCCACCTGTGCACAAGCAGGGCATCGCATTTTCCAGTTCTGGGTTGGTGACCCTGGTGCTTGGTTAAAAACGCAAGAACTACAGGCAGGATAATGCCTTTGGGACCTGAGCATGGATTCAGAAGGAGTTATACAACCAGGGCTGGAATGGACTTCCCTTCAGAGATCTCCAAACCCTTCACCTTACAGCCACGGACACTGGAGCTCAGGGAGTCAGTCTGCTTACAAGTGGCCAGACGACAGCCCACCAAACCCAAACCACAAGTTTAGCCTCGTGGTCTTTGGCTACATGTACTGCTCAGCCATCCTGGATGTTCAAATACAAGGGATGCCCCATTTTCCTAAGGGGAGAACATTTTAAGAATGTCCTCCCTTGGGCCGGCCGAGTGGCGCGATGGTTAAGAACTGGCTTGGGACGCCAGAGGGCCCCGGTTCAGATCCCACATATGAGGGCCAGTGACACTGCCCTCTACAGCTAAGATGCTGAACAACAGCTTGACCTGGAGCTGGGCTGCCGTGAGTTGCCGGTGACGGTGTAGGCTGCAGCCCCTGTGGCAGTGGGTTGCCATGGGCTACCGTGTGCCGCCAGCAGCCAGCAGCCAGCGTGAGCAGCCAGCGTGAGCGGCCAGCAGCCGCAGTGAGCGGCCATCCAGAAGCCGGCGACTGATCTGCCTCTCTGGGAAGAGCACAATGATGGTGCCAGCTTGGGCCAGTGAAGCGACATCCTCCACAACTAGACTGAAGAACAAAAAACGATAGCAACTTGTCTGTTCCCCTTCCCTCAATTCCCCAACGCTGTTCCCATCCCCCAATTCCCCAATAAAAATCTTAAAAAAAAAAAAAAGAATGTCCTCCCCAGTAAAGGTAAAAAACCAAACAAACAAAAGTGTTTTAGGGCTGGAAATGAGTTAATCAAATGTTTACTTAAGTAAGCTGTTCAAATCAAATTCTTTCACTTAATCTATTAATTTAGAAAACTTGCTCTTTCCACGCATACTTTAGGAAACAATTTTATGCGAATTCTTAACCCTGCTCACCAGTGGAGATTATATTGGGCTAATGTGTCTTCTAACAATTTTATTTGCAGTAAAGTACTAGGAAAGCCCCTTGTAGCATGAGGACGGGCAGGACAGGAGCATGGCACACCCTCCTTCCCTGAAGAGTGATCCTGGAAAAGAGGCTCACTTTAGAGTCAGGCCCATGAGGTGGTGCTAAGCACCTGCAGTTGACCCAGCTCCTGGTGGCCATTTGTGGCTGCAGCTGCCTGGGCTCCCTCACCTCTCACTACTGCCTCCCACCAAGCCAGGGACGCTGTTTTTCAAGGTGACTGGACACTGTGACCCAAGAATATATCCAGAAGTGAATCCAATGGCCATCAATCAGCCAGCATCTACTGAGCATTTGCAGTATGTGGCCCCAGCACAGGTACAAAATGAACCGAGTCCTAGAATGAAGGAATAAATGAGGAATTGGGGGAGCATAGCGAAGGAAAGAAGCGGCAGAGGTAATCCATATTTATTGAGGTCTTGCAATGTACCAGATATTTCACAAACATCATCTCTAATTCTCATAATGATCCATGGGTAGGAGTTACAACTCATCCCAACTCCTTCTTGCCTTACTAATAGTGTATGTCCTTAGTTAATTACTTTACCTTCTTAAGCCTCAATTTTCTTGTCTATAAATGGGGAACACCTACCATACACGATTGTTGGGAAGACTGAGTTCTGTTCGAAGCAAGCCCTCAATCAATGTTCGCTCTTATCATTATTAGAACATAGGAGGAAGCTGAGGCTCAGAGAGCTGCAGTGACTAGCCCAGGGCCACACAGCCAGAGAGAGGAGGAGCTGGCCCATGCTCTCCGTTCCACCCCACAATCTGCAGTACAGAAAGGGTTAAAGTGGAAGCTTTGCCCTTCACAGCATGTGCCTGGACTTGGCTGCCCTCTCTGTCCTGAAGAGGCAAGGACAACTGTTCAACAGCAGGATGCCCACAGGTCACCTGTGGCTATGTACACAGCCAGCCCACAAAGGGCACTTGGAGAGAGGGACAACTGCTATTTTCCCCTGAGGCCTGGGCCATCTTCCTTCTGTTATGTCTGACACCTTGGGCCAGTACCTCCCCCTTTCTGAGTCTCAGTTCTCTCATCTGAAAAGGGGGATACTAATGTTTTCCTGCCTCATGTGGGCATTGACTGAGTTAGAGGCTGGGAAATGGTTTTCCACACTGGAAATGTTTTTCCCTATTGTGCATAAGCATAGCTAAGATCAGTGATTTGAGGGTGGGACGAATATTGTGTTTTAATGGGGAGGGGCTAAATGGAGGTAGAACTCAGTTCCTTATAAAGATGAACTTTCTGAGACCTCTGGCCACAGGAGTGGGAAGGAGTGGGTGAGTAAATGACTGTCAATCCCCAGGGTGTAGAGAGGGCTCCCACCCTGTGGTGGGGGTGAGGTTCGCTGAGGTGAAACAAGTTACCCTCCCTGTGCTCTCTTCCTCTCTTCTCCCCTGCTGGGCAGAAGGTGCCTCGCAGATCTTTCCACCCAAGGCGATGTTGTGAGCAGGTGACTGAACCAGAACTCTTGTTCTCCACTTGACTTTGACACTAACTTGCTGTGTAATGTTGAGCCTCCCTCTAAGCCTTATTTTTCTAGTTATCTCATAAATAAATATAACAAGTGCAGTATTCAACTGTGAAAATGAGGCTATGGAAGAGATTATTATCTTTCAAGGCTTTGGCCTAAGGACTAGGTCAATGCTAACGAGAAAGCTTTGTAACTTGTGAAATTACAGGTTAGAGTTGGGAGGGACCCCAGCATGAATCTAGGATCTGCACAGATAATAAATATATCTAGGGACTGCGCTTGGTGGCTTATAAAGCATTTTCTTTAGCTTTGTCTTATTCGATCCTCACACCAATCCTCAAATCCTCAAATCCTCACACGATCCTCAAATTTACAGATGAAAATATAGACCCAGTGAACTTGTATAACTCATGGAACCTCATACATGGGACTAGAGGAATGACTGGAGGTGGGAGAAGGTGGTCCTGGGCTGGAATTCCAGCTCCAATGGGACTGTGCAAGTTACTTTAGCTTTCTGCACCTCAGTTTTCTCATTGATAAAACAGGAAGATGAAAACATTCATTGCAGGGCTGTGGGGAAGATTAAATGAGGTAACTTGTGAAAGAGCTTAGTGCAGAAATTGATGCAAAGTAGGTGCTGAATAAATGTTAGCCAGCAAACAACCAAACACACATAGCTAGGAAACTGCAGGACTGGGCTTTGGGCTCCAATTTCAGTGCTCTTTGCCCCCCACTAAGTGGTTTCATTTCATGACCATCCTCATTCATGTCTCAGCTGAGCCACCTATGTTGAACTGAGCTGCACATTGGGAGGCTATTCTAAGCAGGAAGCAAGAGGTATCTTGGTTTCAGCTGACCTGAAAAAGTTAATTATTGCCCTGGGGTGAAGTGCACCAGTTGCCAAAGGGAAAAGTTTTCTGTTATTGGCACTTCCAGCTAATGGAGGAGGAGCTAGGCTCTTGTTGAGGCAGTTACAGAGTGCTGAAATGATAGGCAGAAGGCTGGCAGGTCTGTCCTAGGGCAGATGGGTCCCCTGATACAGACGTTGGGGCCAAAGCCCTGGGATTGGCCTAAAACAGGGCTGTGTTGACCCATCAGCTGGGCTTTGGCATCCTGTCAAATCTCATCCAGACGTAAAAATAACAGCCTAGAGTTAGTGCTGGGGCAGTCTGCCTGACTCAGGGTGGGAGAGGAAGCAACAATGCAGGTGTTAACCAAGAACTACCCCAAGAACTGCCTGCTGACCGTCATGGACCGGTACTCGGCTGTGGTGCACAACATGGAGCAGGTGGTGATGTTCCCCAGCCTTCTGCAGGATGTGCAGCTAAGTGCGCATGGGCACTGGGCTGGGGGTCCGGATCTCTACAAATGCTTCACCATGCTCAAGGCTATCTGCGTGGATGTGGACCACGGGCTGCTGCCCCGGGAGGAGTGGCAGGTCAAGATGGCAGGTGGTGAAGCCAGTGAGGCCGAGAATGAAGCTGCAGCAATGGAGGAAGCCAACGGGGAGGTCTTGAGACAGCTGGATCTAGAAGCCCAGTTCCACCTGCACTTCTCTAGCCTTCATCACATCCTCACCTGCCTTACCTTGAAAGCCGAGGAAGTGACGAAGATATACCAGGAGATAACAGGACAGGTATATAGGCCTCGGACTCTGGGGTAGGTAATGGTAGGCATGCTCGTGGGCGTTAGAGTCCACGGAGAGACATTCCAGGGGAGGAAGAGGGAGCCCTGGTGCAGCTGAATTTTAGCTTAGAGACACCCTCACTTCAGGGTACTGGAAGCACAACCTGACAGGGCCCAAGGCCAGGCCTGCCTTACTCTCCTTCTGACCTAGAAGTGGTGAGTAATGGTCATGAACTGTTATGGAGACAGAAGGAAAAGTGGCCTGTGGGTGCATACCTTATGTGCACATATATGTGTTCATGCATGTGTTCATTTGTTAGTAAGTATGGGTAGCTTTACTCAGGAAAGTTATGAATTCTGTGTGTGTGTGTGTGTGTGTGTGTGTGTGTGAGTGCTTCCCAACATTTTTGCAAGTCATGGAACATGAAAAATTATATGGCACATGGGGGTACATAGGTGAGGCTGCTCACAGTATTTCTGCAGCTGGCAGGGGTACTCTGGCCATTCCAGGTCGCAGCCAGCCAAATGGAAAGCTTAAGGACTGCTGTTGGCACTCTAATCTGTTCCAGGCACACTAGTGTGGAGGCATACCCATTGGGAAGCCCTGTTGTGAGGACATATCCATGTTTAGGGGTCTGAGCACATATGTCTATGCACAGAATGGCAGGGTTTGTGAGGTATGGATGGGCAGCACGCTAGAAAAGCAGGTGGTGGCACCGGGTAGGTGAAGGGAAAAGGGACCTAGGACAGTCAAGCGTGGGTATTTCCTGGATAAAGAGTAGGAGAAATTTGGCCACACCACCTGCCAGTTGTGATCCTGTGCCACATGCCAGCCCTGCTCCCCAAACTGGCTTCATCAGTGATGAACCATGTCCATGTCCATGGCACTCTCAAAGCCACTGGTGCAGGCAGGTGGGGCAGGATTTTTATCCTAATTCTACTAGTCAGGAAATTAAAGCCAGAGGTGAAGTGACTCACTGAAAATCACATAGTAAGGGGACAAAAGCCAGACTGGCCCCATCTTTGAGCTGAGTGTTCTTTCCATCACCCCCAATTTTGGCCATGTGTTATCTTCATAATCTGCCTAAAGTCCACCCTATAATGACGGGCTATAAACAGGGACCTGAACACACAGCCTATGGAGACTTCTGCTCAGGTATTACCTCAGCCATTTTCCCTTCCCCCCACCTCAAACCCAAGCCCAAACCATCAGTTTCAACCCTGCTTTACTCTCCCCTCAAGGCTCTCTGGGTAGCCTTTCAGAGGTTCTTTTTTTTTTTTTAAAGATTTTTTTTTTATTGGGGAATTGGGGGAATGGGAACAGTGCTGGGGAATTGGGGGAAGTGTCACTGGCCCTCATATGTGGGATCCGAACCGGGGCTCTCTGGCATCCCAAGCGAGTTCTTAACCATCGCGCCACTCGGCCGGCCCCAGAGGTTCTTGAATATAACGGGGCTGGGTCAACAGCTTTGGGGGTAAGTTCTGGTTCCACCACTAATGAGCTGTGAGGCCTTGGTTTAGCCACCTCACTTTTCTGGGTTTCAGTTTCTTCACTGAACAATAACAGTAGTAGTACAAATAACAACTGGTAATTGAATAGTTTAAAACCACTCGCATATCAATGATCTAATAGAATTATCATCCCTTTTCACAGATGAAAAAACTGGAGGCCTGAGAAGTGAAATGAGTCCAAGGTTGCTCAGGAAATGGCAGAGCTGAGATGTGAATGAACCCTGGCCTAACTCGCACCTAATTCTTTTCCTCTACACCAGTGAATTTCCTTAGTGCCATAGAATTCTGCAGCCTGAGCTGGTGGTGGGAATTGGGGATAGCAGAGTGGATAGAACACCCAGTCCTTGACCAACCAAACTGCTTTGAAGACAATAGCAGCGATTCTACACCACAATGCTTCAGCACACCCTAACCTAACTGATTTTTGTGGCGGCCGTGTGGTATAGCAGAAGTTTACCTGGGCTCTTCATTTAAAAAAAAGAGAAAAGAAATCTTACCATTTGCAACAACATGGATGGACCTAGAGGGTATTATGCTAAGTGAAATAAGTCAGATAGAGAGACAAATACCAGATGATCTCACTTATATGTGGAATCTAAAGAACAAAGTAAACAAAATAGAAACGGATTCATAGATACGGAGAACAAACTGATGGTTACCAGATGAGAGAGGTGTTAGGGGGCTGGGTGAAAAAGGTGAAGGGATTAAGAAGTGCATATTGGTAGTTACAAAATAGTCACAGGGATGTAAAGTACAGCTTAAGGAATATAGTCAATAATATGGTAATAACTATGTATAATGCCAGGTGGGCGCTAGACTTATCAGGGGGATTACTTCATAAATTATATAAATGTCTAACCATTACACGGTACACCTGAAATCAATATAAAATAATATTGAATGTCAACTATAATGGAAAAAAATCACAATGAGATGTCACCTCACACTTGTTAGAATGGCTGTCATAAAAGACAAGAGATGACAAGCATTGGTGAGGAGGTGGAGAAAAAGGAACCCTGTGTACTGTTGGTGGGACTGCAGATTGGTGCAGCCACTATGAAACACAGTACGGAGTTGAGTTCCTCAAGAAATTAAAAATACAACTAACATATGATCTAGCAATTACACTTCTGAGTATATATTCAAAGGAAATGAAAAGGATATTGAAGAGCTATCTGAACTTCCATCTTCACTGCAGCATTATTCACAATAGCCAAGATATGGAAACAACCTAAGCGTCTGTCAATGGATGAATGGAGATGTGATTACATATATATATATATATAATATCTATATTATATATTGTATATATATGCGCATATATGTGTGTACACATACATATATGTATGTGTGTACATTTACTTATGTGTATGTATATATGAATATTATTCAGCTATGAAAAAGGACATCCTGCTATTTTTGACAACATGGATGGAACTTGAGGGCATTATGCTAAGTGAAATAAGTTAGAGAAAAATGGTGCATTGTATGATCTATATGTGGACTCTAAAAAAAAAAAAAATTCAAACCCATAGAAACAGAGAGTAGAATAGTGGTTGCCAGGGGCTGGGGACAGGGAGAAATAGGGAGAGGTTGGTAATAGGGTACAAAGTTTCAGCTATGAGATGAATAAGGTGTGAGGATCTAATGTATAACATGGTGACTATGGTTGATATAACACTGTAGTATACAACTGAAATTTGCGGAGGAAGTAGAAATTAAATGTTCTTAACAAAATATGAATATGTAGTGGTAGATGTGTTAATTAACTAGATGGGAGGAATCCTTTCATAATGTATACATATATCAAATCATCACAATGTACACTTTAAATATCTTACAACTTTATTTGCCAATTATATCTCAATAAAGCTGAAAAAAGCAAACAAATATGGGCTCTTGTCCTGGCTCTGCCACTGACCCCTGCATGACTTTGGACAACTTACCCACCTTACTGCATTGCAGTTTCCCTGTTAGTAAAATACAGAGGTGGAACTAGAAGTTATTGCAACTCTAATAACCCGATTCTTCTTACGTACAGTGCTGACGCTGCAAGAGTTCTCCTGTAGCAATACCATTGAGCCTTTTCACTATTTTTCCTATGTCAGTAGGCATGTGACAGTACCTTAGTGGTGTGGATTTATACTGACTTGGTTTTTTAACACTTCTGCACTCCACAGAAGTCCCTTTACATGATAGAAGGTAGACTCTGTGATGAGAACATAGAGCAGTTTACTAGCCCTGCTAGCTGGTCTGGACCGGGAGTGAGGTGACCTGGTTCTCTGGGATGCTTCCCTACCTCTCTTTGAGCAGCTATTTGTGGATTCATCACTGTCACCTTCAGGATGCCTGCTGCTGTTCAGAACTCCCCCTCACTCCTCTTACTAGCTTGGGGTGGTGGTCAGTGGTTCACGAGGGACTAGATGTTACCAGGCTAGTGTGGTTATGGTAGAAAGAGCATAGGTTTTAGCATCTGCCCAACCAAAGTTCACCTCCCTCCTCTTAGCAGTCATTCACTATGTGACCTTGGGCAAGTTATTTAACCCGTTGCAACCTAAATGTCCTCATCCATAAAATGGTGATAGTGTTACCTAGCTCACAAGGTTATAGAAATTAAACAAGATGAATCAAAAGCACCTCACATGTGCTTTCATGATAATTTTTCCCACACCCTCACCTTGTATTTGTTCTAGCCCTTGCTTTTTACCCTCCAGAACTAAGGGGTAGCACAGTCCCTTGGGATGAGTGGTTCACATTCTTGTACCTCCTGAGCACAGGTGAACTATAAGACTATTTAGTGCAGTAGCCATAAAAAATGTACTGTATTTGTACATATCTTTAACTTCTAAAATACTTTCTCAGACATGACTTCATGTTTAACAAGTGGGACTCGAGAACAGAGATGGAACTCATCTGATTTTGCCCATCTGCTTATATTCATACTGCCACCTAATTTGAAATCACGTATAAAGTTATTCCCATTTAAAGCCCTTTAGTGACTTCCCACTACCTATATGATCAAGTCAGAATTATTCTACATCACTCACGAAACTCTCCATAATCTGGTTTGCTTTGTTTTGCTTTGCACTAGAACTGGAGCAGGCGAGCCTTTTCTGTAAATGGCCATATACTAAATATTTTAGGCTTTGCAGGCCAGAAGGTCTCTGTCACAACTACACAACTCTGCTGCAGTAGCATGGAAGCAGCCATAAACATGGAAACAAGTGAGTATGGCTGTGTTCAACAGAATTGTACTGGCAGTGGACCAGATCTGGCTCACGGCTATAATCTACTGACTCCAAACTAAAAATTTTATTTTATTTAAAAGATTTTTATTGGGGTATTGAGAAAGGGGAACAGTGTTGGGGAATTGGGGAAGGGGAACAGCCAAGTTGTTGTCCTTCAATCTTAGTTGTGGAGGGCGCAGCTAGCTCAGCTCCAAGTCGTCGCCATCCGTCCGCCCGTCAGCAGCTCGAGGCCATTCAGCTCAAGGTGCCATGTTATTTTAGTTGCAGGTGGGCGTAGCCCACCATCCCATGCAGGAGTCTAACCGGCAACCTTGTTGTTAGGAGCACATGGTCTCACCAGCTGAGCCATCCTGCCACCTGTTGGCAGCTCAGCAGCAGCTCAGCTTGGGCGCAACTCACTGGCCCATGTGGGAATCGAACTGGCGACCCTGGTGCTCAGAGCTAGCGCTCTTAACAAACTGAGCCACTCAGTCAGCCCCTAAGCTCCACTTTAAAATCTGTCAGATGTCTTCTTAAAATTGGGTGAATGGAAACTGACCATTCTCTGATGAACTATTTTTCTTATGACAAAAAAGAGTCAGAATGCTCATGGTAACCATTTTAATCACAAGGTGTTAACATACAGATTAACATAAACTTCAGATATCATGAAAACATGTTCCATAAAATTCAGACATAATCGGTATCAGTGAAACCGGAGCAAGCATTATGGAGACATCAACGCACTGGATGGAACTCTTCAAGAATTTCACCATAAACTTTCTTATCTATAAAAGAAAAGATCACAAAAGATTTTTTTTAAATTATGTTTTCAAAATCATATTTCCTAAAGAAAAACTAACACTTAATATTCTTATAGCTAGAAACCCCTAAGAATGTCCTCATTTTCTTGTCCTCAACCATGGTTTGGGCATCACTGAGACTTTCTGCTTCACTGAATGAAGAATAACTTTGGAAGCTATGCTGACATCCAGATGGCTGCCTAGAGGGGCAAAGTGCTGCTAGAGGGATCCTGACTGAAGGGGTAAGGAAGGAATAAACAGGGAGGGGTTCAGGTCAGCTGGGAGGGGCCTGGGGCTGAGGTGGTCAAGCTCTCCATGTCCGTGTTGTCCGTGCATGTGGCTCTTGGCACACCTGCCAGTAATCTGCTGCCGAGACAAAATGAGCCCATGAGGCTATACACACTCCTGCTGACAGAGGGAGCTAGTGGAAATATTGATGCAAAGGGCCAGAGGTCTGGGACTGGGGACAGCTCTGCCACTGGGTCTCCTTCTTAGGAATCAATATTTCCAGACTTCCTTTCAGCTTTAGCATCCAGCAGTTCTGAGTATTCCCGATCCCTGACACAACCACTATTCATGGCTTTGTACTAACTAGTCTTTGAGCTCTTCATTGGCAAAAAAAACCTCTGCACCTTTTTGATCCACCATAAACATTACATATTTGACTGGAGGCTATAGGAATACTAGAGTAAAAAAAATTTAGAGCTACATAAGGATCTTAGAGATCATAATTCAGTCTAATGAAATTTAAATGCTTAATATTACACATTTACATAAATATGAAAATCTATTTAAAATCTATATATTTACAAGTTCAAATTTTTCCTTCATTCATCATTCACATATGTGCACATCTGTATTGTAAGTGTGTAAAATAAAACAAGAAGAGTTAAATTATATTCATAGTTGAACAGAGATGAGTAGTGTGTGCTGAAGAAATTCCTGTCTGTAGCTGGGTGAAATCTTCACTGAGATGAAGAATCCTGAGCAGGAATTTGCTAGATGGACAGGGTGGAAATGAGGCAAGAGGAGACTCAAGGCGCAGTGTGTACAAAGTGATACAAGGCAGGTTTAGGACACAGATTGCATGAGGTAGGAGATGAGTTATGGGGGATGAGGCAGGGTCCTGTATGGTTCAGGTCAGCTATTATTTATGAAGTGCCTACTATGTGTAGGCTCTGTGCCACAGTCCAATGAGGGACCTATGTGTATGTCATGTGGTGGGTAAAAGGTATGGGCAAAGGTTTCTACTAGGCAATTAGCCTGAGACGTGAACTTCAGTGAGACCAAAGGCAGAGGTGGGCTGGAGGCAAGTGAGTCCAAGTGGAAGATTATCAGGGCCTGAAGCAGGGTAGCAGCAGTGGGAGAGAGGGGAGTTCAGAGCTGAGAAACAGGAAGTAGCATGGTAAAACGTGATGACCAATGGGAAATGAAAGATAAAGACTGATTCGCAGGCTTCTGGCTGGAGCACCCAGGTGGACAGTTAGTACCATTCACTGCCGAGGG